CCGGAAGTGGTGCTGTGGCTCAAGTGGTAGAGCACTAGCCTTGAGCTGAAGAGCTGAGGGACAGCGCCCAGGCCCAGAGTTCAGGCCCCATGACTGGGCACCCCCCCCCCCAAAAAAAAAGACACACCTGGCTTCCCAGGGAGACAGGCTAGCCAGCCCTCTGGCTGCTGGTGCAGGTGTATGTATTCCTGTTGAAGATCAGTTGATAATCACGTTTAAATGAGTTTTGCTGAGAGCAGCAGCTTGCTGGGAACTCCACAGAGGGCTCCTGAGAGCCCTTCCTGGGGCTGGCGGGGGGCAGGGGCAGGGCGAGGCTCTGACACAGCACCCAGCCTGCCGGCCGTGTGCCCACGAACAGGAGAAGTTCTGCTCTGAGCAAGAACATGGCTGTCCATAGTGTCTGGGCTGGCACTTTTTCTGGGACATAAAGGGAAAAGGAGATGAGAAATGGGCCAATGATTGTTCTTGGGAGCTGGTCACAGATGCCTGTCACAGGTGCCTTATTATTATTATTATTATTGCAGCAGTGCTTGAGGGGCCTGTGTCTGGCATGTGTTGGGCGTAGGGATTTGCGGGCAGCAGAGGTATCTGCAGACCGCACGTGCTGATGCCACCCCCAGTCCCGGCCCCAGACAACCTCAGGGCGGGCAGTGCAGACGCGTGGGGAAAGCCGAGGTGTGCTGAGGAGGAGGAGGTGTGAGTATAAGGCACAGTTTTGATGGTGTGCCCACCAGAGGGGAGCATGGGGTAGAGTGTGTGTGCGGGGAGGGGGGGGGCGGGACAGTACCAGAGAGACCAGAGAGCTCAAGGCAGTGGTCAGAAGCGTAGAGGTGGCTGGCCTCTACCGCAGGCCTTCACTCCGGGCAGAGCCCGTGACTGATGTGCCGCCCCCAGCTGCCAGCACTCCGCGGGACAACCATGGGTGCAGAAGACACTGGTGGCACCTGCTGGATATAGTCTGGGGGTGTGAGAACAAGGTTTTGGGCGTGTGCGTGCGTGCACATATGCACTGGATCTGGGGCTTGAACTCAAGACCTGGCCACTGCCCCTGAGCTTTTTCCACCCAAGGCTGACACTCAACCACTTGAAACACTTACACCTCCAACTTTTTAAGCTGGAGGTGATAGTCTCATGGACTTTCATGTCCAGTCTGGCACTGAAATTGTGATCCTCAGATCTCAGCTTCCTGAGTGGCTAGGACTACAGGTGTGATCCTCAGATCTTGGCCTCCTGAGTGTCTAGGATTACAGGAATGATCCTCAGATCTCCCGAGTAGCTAGGACTTCAGGCATGAGCCCCCAGAGCCCGTCAACCAGCCTGTTTTGACTGGGATCAAGTCCGCCTAAGGGGAGGAGGGGAGGATGTAAACTCTGAGAACTGTCGCAGTTCCTGGTTGCGAGGTCAGGGCGACTGCAGGTTGGGAGCACTCTCAGCTGCTGTGGGGTTTGACCACAGTGGCAGGAGGCAGGGGAGTAGGGCCAGGGCAGGAGGGTGGGGCTGCTGAGGTTGGTCAGGGAGAGCAGGGTGGGGTGGGAGGAGGGGGCTCAGAGGGAGAGGAGCAGGGCCACACTGGGCTGCTCAGAAGGCAGAGGGAGGGAGGGCCCAGGCCAGCCACGCCACGGCCAGGGTGGGCCAGGCCTCTCTCAGATCCTAAAATGTGTAAGAGGGAAAATTCCTGGTGTTGGGAGTGCAGTTCAGAGGGAGAGCACGTGTGTGGCGTGTACAAGGCCAGACTGTCCCCAAAGTCCTAAGTCCAAGTCCTAAGTCTATTCATTCATGGCCTAAGCTGAAAGATTTTGCCTGGGTGGAGGTGAGTCTAATGGCTCTACTGCATACTTTTTCTTTTTTGGTGCCAGTCGTAGGGCTTGCACTTAGGGCCTGGCTACTGTCCCTGTGCTTGCGGCTGGTGCTCTGTCACTTGAGCCACAGCTCACCTTTGAGCTTTTTGGTGGGTAGTTGGGCAGAAGAGTCTCACAGACTTTCTTGCCTGGGCTGGCCTCAAATGGAAATCCTCAGATCTCAGGGGTTAGAGGCGTGAGCCATCAGCGCCTGGCTGTGATACCTTTCGTCAGACATTGTGGATACAATTTATGGCATTCTTTTATAGACATGGAGCAGATTAACCAACTGCCAGTGTTTAGACCACCCAGACACAGCTGCCCTGGAGATCTGTCATTGGGAAAGACGTGTCATTTATTTACCATGCAAAAGAGGACATTATTCAGTGGAGCCAAAGCTGCCTTCCCCCTGAAACCCTGCTTCTATTTTCCACGTCTGACTAATTTTTAATCTCAGTGACTGAGTGGCAACGCTGCTTTTAAGGAGTTCTTGATGCACGCTGCCTTCACAAGATCGTGCTGGGGATTGCTCCTGGATGCTGAGAATTAAATGAGCTCAGCCACCGACCGCGTGGCTCCTTCAACTCCAGGCACAGACGCAGACGTGAAGCCGTCCTCACGGGCATTTCTGGGGCCGAGGGCAAGGCCGGGTCTGTCACCGCCCTCGCCACCCAGGAGCTCAGTTATCCGTTAAGGAGGCTGGACGATAATGTCGTACTTCCTACCGGCCAGGACAGGGCCAGGCTGGGGATGTCTGCAGTGACTTCTGCTTCTCAGGCAGCTGTGGTTAGGCCGAGCACGGCTGCTCCTCACAGGCCCTGAGTGTCTGTCCACCGAGGCAGCCTGGAGCAGGCGGCCTTCCCCGCCCCACACCCCACCCTTCCCACACGGCTGCTGCCCCCTGCAGGCCCGACCACTCCCCTCCCATGGCCTGCTCTGGGGTGGGGTGGGGGGCCTGGAGTGCCCACAGCCCCGGGGGGGGGGGCGCCTCTCCTGCCACTGCCCTCACTCCAGTCTTCCTCCTTGAGCTGGCTGGAACTACCTCCCAGACAAGAACGTGTGCGCGGAGGCCGGGCCTCGGGGGCCACGGCCACACTGCCCGCTGCTTCCCCTGGGCTGCGCCCTCTCCCAGCTGGGAGTCCTCCATCTGCTCCACTGCCCTGGCCACACCCACTGGCTGTCTAGACCGAACTCTCCCATGCTGGTCTTGCTTCTGGCTGGCAGCATAACCTAGATGGAGGGGGAGAGGGGCTGGGCAGGCCGCTGTGGCCTCTTCCCCGAAACCACGATGACCACGGCAACTCAGTCCCTCCCTCGGATGTCCCCTCCCTCCCCTCGGGTCCCCTCCCCCTCCCTTGGGTGTCCCCTCCCCCTCCCCCCTCCCACGGGTGTCCCCTCCCCCCTCCCTCGGGTGTCCTCCCCTCAAGCGTCTCCTCCACGCTGGCTTCTCAGCGCTGGTCTCCCTGGCCTGCGCGGGCCCCACCCCCCGGGCTGCTCTTGGGGCTGGGATTCCCATGAATCCCAGGGAGATTCGAACTCTCCAACTGGCTGAACTAATCCTGCCTACAGGCAAAGGTTGCTCTCTCCCCGGTCGGTCCTTCCCTGGGTGGAGAGGAGAGGAGAGGAGAGGAGAGGAGAGGGGCGTGGAATGGAGAGAAGGCCAGGAAATGGGGCGCGGGGAGGGGGAGCCAGGCCGTGCTTTGTCCGGGAGCCTGGCTGCGCTGTGGGATTGGAGCCTGTGTTTCTGGTTTGTTGGTCTTTGCTTCACTCAGGCAGGAGTGAAGATCCCTTGGAGGGCAGAACAGGTTGGTAACGCAGGCGGCTCTCCACACAGGAGGAAACCCAATCCCCAGCCGCCCCGCCTCTGTGTGCCCTTTTCTTTCTGTTTTTGAACCCAGGGCCTGGGCGCTGTCCCTGAGCCTCTCTGTGCTGGGCGAGCGCTCTACCACTTGAGCCTCAGCGGCACTTCCAGCCTCTTCTGTGTGTGGGGTGCTGAGGAATGGAATGCAGGGCTTCATGCGTGCTAGGCAAGCGCTCTACCCCTGAGCCACGCTCCCAGTCCTGGTTTGATTTCTTTTCTTATTTTTTTAATTAATTACTTTTCTGCTTCCACTGGGGCTTGAAATCAGGGTATTGGCACTGCCCCTTAGTTTTTTCACTCAAGGCTGGCCCTGTACCACTTGAGCCACGGCTCCACTCCGGGCCTTTTGGTAGTTAATGGGAGATTAGAGCCTCACAGATTTTGTTGCCTGGGCTGGCTTTGATCCACATCCTCAGATCTCAGCCTCCTGAGTTGCTAGGATGGCAGGTGTGAGCCACCGGCGCCCAGCTTTTGGTTTGGTTTTAAGTAAATGATCCTGCTGGGAGTCAGGGTGCCCTTGGTGACAGTCCACACACGCAACTGCCCTAAGCAGAGCTGTCCGCGCGGACACAGCAGCCCACCTTCCCTCACTTCCAGGAGGGCCAACTCCAGTTTGCTGTTTCTCTGCTGCTCTCCGGTGTCAGAGAGATTCCAAATAGCTCCCTTTGTCCAGTAGAACAGAGACGCAGGCTTGGTGGGAAAGTTAAGTTCTATAGAGGAATTATTAGCCTGATGGCAACATTTGGGTCTCAGTTCATGCTGAGTGGAATGTGAGCTAGAATCAGTTTGAGCTAACTAGTGTTTTAAATAGTCTCCATTTAAGAATGACTCAGTTGGCTTTAGAGTTGTGTGATCGGATGTTTTATCACCTCAGAGCATGCTTGCTAACTTCCCTCTGAGGGGATGCGCCATTGCCTTTTCTGTCTGCTGCTGCTGGCTGCTTCAGGCCCTTCCTGGTCCCCCGGAGGTCCTGCTGTGAGCCGCTCTTTCCCCACGAGTGGCCACCTGGGCTAGCAGGCCACACTTCCCAGATCCTGGGCTTGTTGAAGCGAAAGCAGGAATTGGAATTTTTACAATGAAATATCCCACGTGTTAAAGGCTGCTGCATGGAGCTGGGAAGGTGGCTCAGTGGTAGAGCACTTGCCTTGCATGCATGAGGCCTTGGGCTCCATTCCTCAGCACCACATAAGCAAAAAAGAAAAAAGCCGGAAGTGGTGTTGTGGCTCAAGTGGTAGAGCGCTAGCCTTGAGCTGAAGAGCTGAGGGACAGCGCCCAGGCCCAGAGTTCAGGCCCCACGACTGGACCAAAAAAAAAAAGGCTGCTGCATCTTTATAGAGTTCATTGGCCTGTCAAACAAAGACAGGTGCGGTGACTCTAACTCTGGGGTCTGAGCCTGCAGCTTCTCTGTGGACAGAATCCAATGTGGTGTGTGCCTGATGCTCTGTTCCAGCTCTTCTTTTTCTTTTGTGGAAGATGTCAGAAGGTTATGGAAATTTTCCGTGTGTGTGTGTGTGTGTGTGTGTGTGTGTGTATCTTTTGAATTCTGTTAAAAATTGTAGCTCATCCTATAACCATACCTAGTCAGGAGGCTGAGATCTGAGGATTATGGTTCAAAGCCAGTTGGTACAGGAAAGTCTATGAGACTCTTATCTCCAATTATCTTTCAAAAAGCCAGAAGTGAAGCTGTGGCTCAAGTGGTAGAGTGCTAGCCTTGAGCAAAAAGCTCAGGGACAATGCCCAGGCCCTGAGTTCAAGCCCCAGGACTGGCACGTACATAAAGAAAACCTCCCAACCCCACATCTGTCCTCCATTTCTCAGCTGTGATTACAGTCATGAGCCACCAGTGCCCTGCCCAGAAGCGTCTAATTTTGATGACTCCAACTTATCTGTTCTCTCTCTCTCTCTCTCTCTCTTTTTTTCAGTCGTGGGGCTTGAACTCTGGGCCCAGGCGCGGTCCCTCAGCTCTTTAGCTCAAGGTGAGCGCTCTGCCACTTGAGCCACAGCACTACTTCTGGCTTTCTTTTCTGCTTATGTGATGCCGGTGTCTCATTTCAGAAAAAGTAGTGTAGGACAGCTGTGTGGCACGTGGGTGTGGAAAAGCTCTGTGAGGGGGCTTTGCCTTCTCCCTGGTGACTGGCTTTATCAGCATGCTTCGAGTGTGAACTCTGCCCCTTTCTGTGTTCTGGCACCGTATAATGTATTCTCGTCTATTTCATGAGAGCCTCGCGTGGGTGCTAAACTTTACTACTCAAATGAATGCAAGCCTTCTCTGTATTTTAATTTTAAACAGAGAAAAACTCTGCTGAAGTGCCAGCCAGAGGTGTGGGAGCGCCGCCCGAGGCCTGGCAGCAAGCTGCTGTGTGGGTGTGAGCGACAGCTCGGGGTGTGAGGCTGTGCGGGGGGGGGGGTGCGTGCCCCCTTGGGTCTGCACAGGAGGACAGGCCTGGAGAGAGCGCGCCAGCTGGTGACACAGTGTGGCTGTGAATCGGTGTTTGGCTTGGTAGCCAGGGTCTGCCGACAAGAGTGCCACGGGCACCGTCGTTCCAAGCTTGGCACAGTCCCATGTCCTGTCAGAGCCGGCGTTGAAGAGGGCAGGACGAGAAAAGCACAGTATCTGGAGTGGAGCGGTTGTCCTAGTGTGGAAGAGCAGGGCCAGGGTGCAGGAGACAGGACTAAAAGTCCATGAGCCAGTATGCACGGGGACTCAGCAGAAGGCAGGTGTGAGCCCCACAAATTGGGTCAGAAGGAGGGTGCATTGTGGTAACTCCACTCAAGCTGGAAGGTACCCGGTTTATCTGCTTGGGCCAGGCGGCTCCTGGTGTGATCTGTCCTAGGCTGGGCGGGGGAGGGGGGGAGGCCGCAGGGAGGCCCTGCAGAGGAGACAAGGGCGACCTTCAGTGGACATGAGGGGCGTCTCTGTCAGGCGCCCGCCCAAGATCCAGGAGTGTGTGAGAGAGGCAGCCCTGCAGGGCCCCCAGAGAGTCAGGAGGTGGTTCAGCTGCAACAACAACAACAACAAAATCAAGCAGGACGCCAGTGGCTCATGCCTGTAATCCCAGCTACTCAGGAGGCTGAGATCTGAGGATCACGGTTCCAAGTTAGCCAGGGCAGAAGGGTTTGTGAGACTCTTATCGCCAATAAACTACTCCAAAAAAAACAAAGTGGTGCTGTGGCTCAAGTGCCAGAGCACTAGCCTTGAGCACAGAGAGGCTCAGGGACAGAGCCCAGGCCCTGAGTTCAATCCCCAGGACTGCAAAGAAAAATAAAAGGAAAAGAAAGGAGAGTCAAGAGATGAACAATGAAAGGTTGGGTGGAGCATGAGGTTGAGAGGACAGACCTTGTGGCTTCTAAAACAGAAGAGCAGGCAAGCAGACAGAGAGAGGGCCTGCGAGTCTCCACCCACCACCCGGGAGCCATGTTCCTTACCAAAGGCTTGAATCATCCTCCCCAGGGAGTGTGGGCCCCACTGCTGCCCAGGCGCTTTCAGGTTGTTTGGCCTCTTCTGGGCCCCTTGTATATACCACGTTCACGCGGAAAGCTAGCCGAGGTTTTGCCGGGGGATGGCTCTGAATTCTTATGTTGGTGGGGCAGCTTAACTATAGGAAGTGGTAACTCTATTTATTTAGGTAATTTTTCATGCCTTTCAGCTCTGTGTATGTGTGTGCGTGTGTGTGCACGCGGGCACACGCGCGCACGTGCACACACACACAGCAGTAATAGGGCTTGAACTCAGGGCCTAGGCACTGGCCCTTGTCACTTAAGGCTTGCACTCTACCACTTGAGTCAAGCTCTAACTTCTAGCTTTTACTGGTTAAGTAGAGATAAGGGTGTTTCTCAGATTTGTCTGCCTGAGTTGGCTTTGAACTGTGATCCTCAGATTTGAGCCTTCTGAGTAACTAGTATTAAAGGTGTGAGCTATGGGGTTGGGATCGTGGCTCAGTGGTAGAGTGCTTTCCCATGCATGAAGCCCTGAGTTCCATTCCTCAGCACCACAAACACAAAAAAATCTGGAACTGGCAAACAACAACAACAATAGCAACTTAATATATTTTAAGATTTTATATACACTCTCAAAGGTTCTTCAGGTGAGGTATGTAAACATTGTCTAATGAAAAAGTTTCAATGTTTCAAACCAACAAATTCACAGCATACACTGAGTTTTCAGCCATTAAAGACACAGTATTTTCTTACACTTACTAACACAGTGGAAGTCCAGTCCCAAGGAATGCACGCTGATCTTCCAGGTTGTCACTTGCAGCTGTCTCTTTGCTGCTTTTGGAAGGGAACACACACTGGGTACCAGAAAGGGGGTAGGCTCTCCCCAGCCATCCTTGGACTTTTGGAACACTGGCTAACACTCACAAGACAGCAAAAAGGAGCACATCTGAACACCTATCAGATTGATCTCAGCAATGTCAACAGTGGGAGGAACCAGAACGATCTTTAAAGGAATGGCAGATTCATTTTAGAGCAGCCTGGATCATCAGCCCTTGCCTTAAACTCTTTCTGAAAGTTTGAAGCCTAAAAAGAAAAATCCAATATGGCACCTGAGCTTGAGTTAAATTGTGTGGTTGGCTAAGTTTATTGATAAATTTCTTTTTTTTATTTGACTTTTTGCAATGTTAGATATCAAACCCAGGGCACTGAGCATGCTAGGCAAGTGTTCTACCCCCTGGTGTTTTTTTTTTTTTTGTGCCAGTCCTGGGGCTTGAACTCAGGGCCTGGGCTCTGTCCCTGAGTTTTTTTTTGCTCAAGGCTAGCACTTGACCACTTGAGCCACAGTGCCACTTCTGGCTTTTTTTAAGTTGTACTGAGGAACCCAGGGCTTCGTGCATGCAAGGCAAGCACTGTACCACTAAGCCACATTCCCAACCCCCCACCTCCGTAATTTTTTTATGTTGGAAATGTGAAAAATTTTTAATTTTATTTTTTTCATTATATATAGTGGGTCTAGAAATCCAAAACTGGTGATTGTACTTTGATCTGCTACCCTGCATCTTGAATTTTCTTTTTTGTTGTTGTTGGTGGTGGTCTCTGGGCACTGTCCCTGAGCTCTTCAGCTCAAGGTGAGTGCTCTACCACTTAAACCACAGCACCACTTCTGGTTTTCTGAGGGGTTTATTGGAAATAAGACTCTCATGGCCTTTCCTGCCCACTCTGACTTTGAATCTGGATCCTTAGCTCTCAGCCTCCTGAGCTAGATTACAGGCATGAGCCACTGGCTCTAGGTCCCTGCTCTATTAGTCTTTTGTTTGTTTGTTTGTTTTGTCATTTTGGCTTGAACTTGGGGGCCTGGGCCCTGTCTCTGTACTCTTTTGCCACTTCTGGTTTTCTGGTGGTTTATTGGAGATGAGTCTCATAGACTTTCCTACCCAGGCTGGCTTTGAACCGCGATCCTCAGATCTCAGCCTCCTGAGTAGCTGGGATGACAGGTGTGAGCCGCCAGTGCCTGGTTCTACAAGTTGTTTATTTTGTAACTCTTTGGGATTTTCTAAATACTGGGTGCTATCATCTGCAGATAGAGATGTGCTCTGGCTGGACCGGCCCTCGGGCCACAGCGGGGGGCTGACCGCTGGCGTCCCTTGCCCACCGTCGCCCCCAGCCGCTGTGGGGTGTGGGTGGGGCAGGCCTGGGCTCCGGGGTGAGGCCGTGTCCCCCCACCCTGGCCTGCCCGGGCGTCTTTCCCCAGGAGCCCCAAGGCTCCCGCAGGGGGACACGGGCCGGGCCGGGGCCTGGGAGCCGGCGAG